CTCAGATGTGATCGCGTTTAATAACATTGTTTCTCCGTGACATTTGTATTTTTTATTTTTATTCCATATCGTATATCTGCCCTCAAGATTTTTAGATTGTATTCGTCTTCGGCTTTCGTTTTTGTAACCAGTAGGCAATTTTTGACCTTTGCTTTATTAATTATTGCTCTGAAGTCATATCTTTTAACCATTGTTCATTTTCTATTTCTCTTTGTTTTTTGTTTGTTAATGAAGTGTCATATCAGTCTGGAGCTTAAGTGAAAAAAGAAATGTTGCTTTACTGTGGTGTCATTATTTCTATTTGTGACGAGGAAGCTGTTTTGTATGAAAACTTTGGCTGTGGGAGATGTGCGTTCTTTTTTAAGACTTGTTAGGCCGAAAAGGTGCATGAAACGTATAAGTGGTACGTTTCGTAATATCGCTGTGTAATGGTTATGAAGCTTTTGGAATTTGGTAGTGCGGTCTACCAGAGGAAATTTTTATCATCTTTTAGGATCGCTTGTTTTTACGTTTGGTGGGTGCTGGTATTGATGGTGGGTTATTGGAGCTACTAGATGCTTGGGAAATTTTTTTGACTTGGCAGGCAGTACCATGTATGTCTGGTTACGGTTTTGGAGTTTCCTCTGCAGTTCTTGTTTTCATTCGTAAGTTTTGGGGTCGCATAGTGCCAACAGGTGTTTTTTCGGTATATGCTGTACTTTAGTCCCTGCTCTGGTTTGTTCCACTGTAGATGTTTGGTTTTTCCTGGCGGATGTAAGGTTGACTTTTGTATTCTGCTTGATTCAAACAGTTTTTAGCACAGAGGAAAATATGAAAGTGGATGCTGGCAAATATTTGAAAGACGGGTTGTTAAATGATAATAGGTTAAAGTGAATAAGTGTTTTTAAAGTGGTGTTTGCGAAGCTGTCTAGTTGAAGCGTTATCACTCCAGGTGTACGGAGATGAAAACTGCTTGGTATGGTTTGGTAGTCAGTGTTCGCCTGTTGAACTTTAGCGGATTTAATTGGGTCTATACTTTTCCGGGTAGGCATTAAAATGCTATGAGAAATTATGAAGTGAAATGATGTAGGCTTTGTCGGTGTGAAAGACGTAATGGGTTCTTTGTTATTGCTTAGTATTGTGAATATTTTATGTCATTTTTGTATGCGTTAGATTTTATGAGATGGGTGATTGAGTCAACTTTATGGTAGGATATGTTCAAGAGAGATTCATCGATACCATTTAAGCTGCTTGAATTTTTTAGCATTCTGATACGCATCAGTCTTTAAGTTACTGTTGCAGGTAAAATAAAAGCTATTTCTGAGAGGTGGTTTTAGAGTTGGTTTTTTATTCAGTTTTTATTGCACCCAAGCGTTTTCGGTTTATAATTGCTTTTTTTCTTTCATTCGCAGATAAAAGTGATGAATTACTGATAGTGGTCGAGGGAGAGCAATTAAGTTTAGTTAAATAAGATATCGTCATAATGATTATTGGAGTTTCTAAAAGGAACGCTATTTCGCTACTTGTATGCTCACATAGTACTTTTTTTGCAAGTTATTGTTTGACACTTTCGTTTTTTCAAACCTTTGTTATTTTTAAAAAATTATACATTTTTCCTGCTGTAGTCAGAGGTATGCTGCAAATGTAGCGGTGTCTGTAATTCATTCTATAATCCGCAGTTACTGACACTTTACATTTTGCCTAAGCTGCCTCGTTTGAAAGGCTTGTTTGTTAGTGAACCGCTAACAATGCTTCTTTACGGTTGCCTTTCAGCTTGGTTCTTTTGACACATTTTTGATGCTTTTTTCGTCAGCTACCTCATTTTCGGATTTTTTTTTTTTTTTTTTGAATTTATATCTTTGGTAAAGTGTAGGAGGTGCCTGAGAAGTTACATCCGAAACATGTTTCGAGTAAGTAATAACTCATTTGCAGTGGGTTTTCAAGAATGTTAATTTCTTTGACCAAGGTCAGGACGAGAAGTAGTAAGTTTTGTTGGAAATTATTTTTTTTGGTGATTAGACTTCGAGAGTTTTCGGGTTCTATATACACAAACCAGTACAATAGTGAAAATTAAGTTTTGCTATTGTCAGTCTTAATGGCAGTACACTGTATACGTATTAGGAGGTTTAATTCAGGCATACGGATGTGGTACAGTGATTCTGATGGCGAAAATACAGTTTTTGGTTGTAAGGAGGCTATTTGTTCGTTACTGTTTTTAGTTACTTTAGTAATCTGCTCGTTATGCTACTGTAATCTATAAGGGTATATGGCAAATGTCGTTAATTTCTTAAGAGT